ACAATAAGTGGATACCGGAAAAAATCAAAACTGCCGTGAAACGATTTGAGCAATCGGATATGCGTAGCTCGACGTTTACGGCGCTTAGCCCTGTCCTGCTTTCCTATCATCGACCCTCCACGCTTCCCATCGAGGCAGTCTAAACTCCGGGTGAGAATCCGGTTTACAAAACAGTTCCCTTTTCAGGTCAATCGTTTCCTCTTCCCCTGGTCGTATGCCATTCCTTAGTAAATTTATAGCTGAACTTAGTCTTTTTGTAAGAGCTATGTATTGAGAGCAGCGCAGAGTGGGATATCTTGGGGGGGTAAGAGCGACATGCGGTGGAATCAATTTGACTAGATTTTTCCACCACTTATGGGCATCCATCGCCGGTCCCAAAACATGAATTGCACACAGAAGCATTTCCAGCATCATATATCTCCTACCCAATACCATTACCGCCTCAGATGGTGTTAGCTTTACCTCTGAATCCTGATGACAGTTATACAGATGGCCAGCAATTCGCTGAGTATTCGCTATTATCTCGTTTGCTCCGACTTCAGGCAAACGTTCTAGTATAAAAAGGTCGTGCACAATGCGCATAGCACCGGTAGGTATGTTAAGATTTGCCTTATCTGCAAAGGCTTTTGCGGCCGAAAAATGTATCACCTTCCAGCCCGCACTCTTGTTGAACTTCGGAAGCCTATAAAATGGATGGGGGGTTAACATTACTCCGGCCCCAGAAGCTGCACGTGCGATGGGCGTTTCTGCTTGTGGCTGCTTCCCAGAATTCTGCACAGCCTGCACAGGGTATGGTGGCAACGAATGCTGAGCCGGTTGAACACCTGTGCTGCTACGCACCTGCGGCAAGGATTCATGTTTTGTCCGCAAATAAGCACCTGAACCAGATCCACCAAACAGGAGCTGTACTGGCAATTCATTTTGCCTTTTTAAGGGTCGGGAAGGACGTGGGCCTGGTGGGCTCTGGAGTTCGCCTTCCGCCGACTGTCCCTTTGGCCTCAAAACTTCCTGCAAAAGGACGGAGGTCGGGGGGACTGCGCTTTTTTGAACATTCAGGGGCTGGCCACTTGCCAACAGATCCACAGGGCTGACGTAATTTTGGGTTCCCGCCACTGTTGGTGTGGTGGATATTCGAAGTGTACCTGCGACTCCGGAAGAACTCCCTACACCCGGGTCCTGAAGTGGTAATGGTGCGTTCCCAGGCAATGGATACACAGTAGGTGTGGATTTCGTGCTCAGCCTGGTGAGCGGGACACCGACCTGGGTAGGCAACATCGAAGAGTGCTGCCAATATATGGACGGCCCTCCAAGGGGCAAGGCACGAGCAATCTCATCCGCAACTGGCCAACCCCCATGATAATTCTTCTGCAAAACCGGAGGTGGGATCTGCTGAAGAGACACTTCACCTGGAGGTCCCTGGAGAGATCCCCAAGCTGAGGAAGATGGAACCGCAGACCTTGTCGGCTGCTCTTGCTGAAGCGAAGGAAGTGATTGCCACGAGGAATGCGGTCCTGACAGCTCCTCTTGCGGAACTGGCCGAGCTTGGGGACAGCCACCCACTTCTTCTTCCATGTCCAAACACATGTCAAGAATGGCAGACAGAACGGGGTCTTCGTCTGCTGCAGGCTGTCCACCTGCCAATCGTCGCGGCACCCCCCCGCCACTCCTCACGCCGTAACAAATGCGGAAGTAGTGGAAAGTGACTGCCACAACTGCCAACACCGAAAACAGTCCAGCATATATTTGATGAGTCCTATATAACTTTCGGCAATTTTTCAGCGTCGAGCAATACGCTGTTTTGCCCAGGGAGCCGCTGGAAGCGTCTCGATGTCCATCAGACATGGGCGTACTGGCAAAAGTGGCGGAGGCATTGTGGATTGCTGAAGAGGGATGCATTTCCAGAATCAAGATGACGGGATCCTGCGCCTAATTGTTTTGGCTACTAAGTTGAGTGCCTGACAGCAGTGAGTTAGGTAAACCGCGCAGCAGATGATGGAGCACAGGGCAGAGACGCTGGAGCCAGCAGTTGTCAATAGTTCGTCTAAGAAGAAAATAACAGACAATCCACCACAACAAACGCATTTATAGCTGAGGGACGGATACCTTAGACGAATATAACGGGAGGAAGGGCGGTTCAATGGTCACTTCGGTCCGCATCCTGTAGACCGTTAAGGGGAGGGCCTTAAAGAATGAGCTACACTTTATCCACAGCATAATAAAACAAATTATCATGTTAACAAACAAAGACACTCAGAACCACGGTAAAGTCTTTCCAAAGATACCAACGCTCATGAGCGGTGGGAGCAGCGCCCGCGAGACGCGTTATCCACTGGTCCCCTTGCAGTCGGAGGACAGCTCGCTGCCGCCCCATCGACCAAAAGTAGTCATAACCTGATGATATCCAAAGTAATTCAGGACGGCAGCTATTCCCCTTCATTTGGTGTGATTGGTACTCAATATGTAGTGTGGCATAATCTGCGCACTGGTGGCTACTCTTTCTGAAGTATACGCATGAACTCTTGCCCGGCCTGACTAGACAATCGATACGGTGGGAGAAGTTCTCTACAACTTCCTAAACTGATTGTATGTAGGGCCAAGAATGCTTGTTTGCGCTCGTAAGTAGCGCAGTCCTGGGCCTGAGTTGCAACACGGTGCCTCGTGACAAACATCCTGCCCCGCAGCTGTACGCCCTTTATCGCTGGGCTCAAGACAACTTCGGACGGGGGAAGGATGTTATTTGCAGTTTAGGGAGACATCCCATTAACTACTTTTGCAGTATGACATCTCGCAATGTTCATCGGAAACGATCTTCGATTTCATATATGCAGCGCACTAGTTCACATTAGAACAGTCCAGCTCATAAGACAACACCATAGACAACGGACGAATACTTGTTTTATATTCGTGTTGGTAGATTGAAAAGTGGTAGTAAGATTCGTTGCTCCGCTTTTGATGGTTTCCCCCTAGGCAACGTCGAACAGGCACACATGGAGAGCCTAGAGCAGCGAAAATCTATGCATCCCCCAGCAGCGCAAGGCGTCCGAAGTCGTACCACTCAAGGACGAAACACAGGCTATGCAGGGGTTAAGATTATGGGAAGCCACGAAACCTTTTCCACAGATGTGGGCACACTCCTTGACAGAGACCTTCCCGCACTGCTTCGAAACCCCAAAATGCTGGGCTAGCATGTCTTGTGACACAGCATCCTTGAGACAATAGAGTAGGAACTGCACGCTGTGGCCTTTTAACATTATTGCGACATCAGTGCATGCCCGTGTAGTTGCTCGACAGAGCAGAGTCAATTCGTCCAAGATGCGCGTCTAGACATTTGTAAGAGGGCATCGAACAGTAACTGCTCATAGGTGCTGAAAAGCACAGCTGTTCCCCACTTACTTTTTTGTACTTTGGTAATTTGTAGCCGTTCTGCATTGCAGAGAGTGTGGACCTCCACATGCAGAGAAAGCCCAAACAACATTTGTAAATATTGATGTTGAGCATCACATTCAAGTGTTGCCAGCCCGGATATCAGCACACACTGATATATTTACAAGTACAATACGCAGCGAGAGCGCCGCTGGAGAGACAAGAGCAAGGGCAAAGTGGAGTGTGGCATTCAGCATCAAATTTACCACACGCCCTTTCACGTGAACTCAGAGCTTCTGCGCGTGTGTAATTGAGGATAGTTTGGCGGAAGTAGTGCATTTTCAACGTCTGCAGTGGTAGCAAGCTTAAGCGTCACTCCGGCGTCACTACAGAGTAACCTGCCTGGAGCCACATGCAGATATCCGTATAAAGAAAGCCTTTCTGTTCTGTTTCTCTGAGCAGGCACACCAACACCCTCCCCCAGTCTTCCACAATAAGACGTCGATGAGCAAACCCAACGAAACAAGCCATCTCCATTCAGACTCACAGCATGAGATAGTAGCTCTAGCAGAACTTATCGCGCAAGCTAGCTTTCGGTGGACGCTGTTGCTATGACCATGCAGTGTGCTTCAACGATAATTGCTAAGGGCTCTGAATTCATATCAATCGTGCAACCACCATTTTCCCTCTTCATTCTTTTGTACACTGCCATGTGCTACAAGCAGTGCACTCGATACATGTCAGGCAGAGGGCATCAAGACACGTATGAACTACAGCCAGCTAGCAGTGGCCGGATGAAGACGCCTACAAAGTGTGCATGGAACACCTGTGTTGGGTAGCCCTACTGGGAACCTTTGACTTGTCAACTCAGACCCCCTTCGATGCGGCTG